CATGGCTTTTCTAGGGCTGAGAGAGTGTGCATGCATATTTTTTTAAAATATCTTTTTATTTTATTTTTAATTTTTTAATTTTATTTATTTATTTATTTATTTATTTATTTATTTATTTATTGGTGCTTCGGCCCCCCAATTGTCTGTGGGACAGCAACCCGGCCCCTGGCTCAAAAAGGTTGCCTACCCCTGTCTTAGATTGTTGATACTTCTTTCTCCTATTTTCAGTCCTCCTTCTTCTGTGTCCAAGTCCATTTTCCATATAAAATGGAAGGGGAAGCTAGACAGTGTAAACCAGGGGTAGGCAACCTAAGGCCCAGGGGCTGGATGCGGCCCCCTGAGGCCTTTGGACCGGCCCGAGGCTGGTCCTGCCGCCGCCGCCTACCATAATGATATTGATTATTGTTGTTATTACTTGTTCTTGGGGTTTTCTTGGTAAAATCTCCACAGGGGTTTTGCCATGGCTTTTCTGGGGCTGAGACAGTCTGCATGCATATTTTTTTTAAAATTTTTATTAATTTTTTAATTTTAATTTTTATTTATTTTTTTATTTATTTTTGGTGCTTCGGCCCCCCAATTGTCTGAGGGACAGCAACCCGGCCCCCGGCCCAAAAAGGTTGCCTATCCCTGGTGTAAACCATTGATGCCAAGATGACTAAACTGTCATACTTTGGACATATAATGAGAATACATGGTTCATGAAAAAAGACAATAATGATTGGTAAAATAGATAGCAGTAGGAAAAAGAGGAAAACTGCATTCCAGATGGACAGACTTAATCAAGTAAGCGGCACAAATAAAATGTCTGTGCTTTAAAGGAATACTGTGAAAGACATATCCATTTTCTCCTGACCTACTCAATCTGTCTTCTTGTTTTGTTTTTGTTTTTGTTTGGAAAATGCTGTTCTGCTGCTGTTCTAGTGCAGACCCAGTGGATTTATGGCCACGTAAACCTGCTGGGTGACCCTGGGTAAGTCACACTCTCTCAGCCTCAGAGGAAGACAATGACAAACCCCCTCTGAATAAACGTGCCAAGAAAACCCTATGAGAGATTTACCTTAGGGTCACTGTAAGTTGGAAACAACTTGAAGGCACACAACAACAACAACAAAGTGTCCTCAGAGAGGTTGCTGTAGGTAGGCTGGCCACAGTGTATTTGCTGATAAAGATGGATGCTGAAGTGGAGGTGAAAGAAGAGGGGGGCATTCCAAGAAAATGGTTAGGGTGAAACCAGGCTTAACTCCCCACCACCCCCACCATCACCACAACCCTGTTCTCCAAGGCTTCAGCTGGCTAGTTGGAATGGTAGGACTGGTGGTTTTAGTCCGTCTCCCATATCTGGTATGTAGGAAGAGGGAGGCTGTTTCTCCATCTCTAATGCCTAAATCCAATAGTCAGTCACAGCATCCAAATCCATTGCATCAATGAATGTATTAAGTCTTGAGTTAGCCTCATTTCCATTGCGGTCTATTCCAAGTAAGACTAACAAGTATATTTAGGCCTAAGAGTTCAGTTTTGCCATTTCTGATTTAATATTCCATTTAACTTTTTTTTTTGGTGGAACTATACAATATGTCAGTTGAGGATTATGCTTTATAGCAGTGCTACTCAAACTGGTGGTTCCTGGTATGATGCCAGTCCCTGGCAAGTTTCCAGAAAAGAAAGAAAATATGGTGCTGTTCCCTGGCATATTTGGAAGAAAGATAATAATTGTCTGACTCATATCAGTCAGCCTAGGAAGCCCTTCTTCCCACTGTGCATTGTTTGACAATTATGGTTGCCAACACCATTGTAACTCCTTTAGCTTCAGCAGGGTCACAGTGTGTACCTGAGAATGGTTCAGTAGTGAATAATAAATAATATAATACTTTGGAACTAAATTGTGTCAGCTAACTAATTTCCTGCACACCTCTTCCCTAAACAGTCATCAGCAAAACTATGTTTCCATGCACAATACACTAAAATCAACAAAAGGGTCATAAACAAGCTATAAAAGAAAAAGAAATTGTGTTAGCAGAGGAAGTAAACAAAATAATAACTGTGTCATGGAAATGGAACATTGTAATTGCTTTCCAATTGAATAAAATCTTCAGCAGCAATAACATTTTTAAAAATGTTATCTGCTCATTCTGAAATAGAAGGCAAAAGTTAGTGGTCATGTGGAAAACTCATTTTTGTCTCCAGTAGTTTTTGGCTGTGAAACCCTTGCTGTTTGATATTAGTAGCTTTCTGGCATACAAATAATTTTTAGATTGTATTACATCAGAATAACCTGTTTGGTTTTATAGTCCAGAAAAGGGAAAGGGAAGGCTCAGCTTAACATATTTTCTAAAAAAACCTGGTTGTCTACTCTTAAAATGTTACTCTGCAGGTTACCCTTATGCAGTATATTTGCTCTTCTTGTAGCATAATGTACTTTGGTTTGGAAGGCTATGGTTCTGCAGGGAGCTGATAAAGATGTTTTGGGGAGTGGTTTGGGTTGGTGGCATTTTGTGTCAATGTGGGGCTGGGTAGGACAAACTGTACTGTTTTCTAATTTGCTTACACTGTCTGGGGATGATGGTAGTTGGAGTCTGATACAGCTGGAAAACACCAATGTGGGAAAGATGGGTCTCCAGGGTACCTTCAAAGAACAACTGAAGCAGGTACATTCACCACCATCAGCAGCAAAAATAACTAAAGCTGATGGAGTGGATATTTACCCTAAAATCAGCTTCAGAACCAGCCAGTACAAAAACTGCAACTCCTGGTGAGCTTATCGCACCACATTCTTAAAATGGGGCAAGGTTGCTTTAACTGCTTCGACTGTCTCCTGTTGCTTTTTGGGGGTTGTAGTTCAGTGAGGCATAAAGGCTCTCTGGCTGAATATTCTAAATGCCTCTTCCTAAACTACGTTCCAGAATGCAACAGAAGGCAGCCAGCGATGTTAAAGCGACCTAGCCCCATTTTAAGAGTGTAGACCGATAGTCTCCTTGGTCTGGTTAACATCCTTACTGTTACAACCATCTACCTACCTAGCACCACAACCCAATCCCTTCCTCACGTTCTTTCTTTTCAAATAGTTAACCTAATATGTGATACTTTTAAAACTCTCTAGCATGTTTATTCCAAAGAATCCAAGTGATGTGCTCATTTCTAAAGATGTTTCTCCTATATTTGAAAACATATGCTGGTGGATGAATTTCTCCATTATCTGAACTGACAAGACTGATGAATGGCCATCATATTGCTTTAAATCTGTGCAATACAGGGGGGTTGCAGACTGCCAGAAAAAGTGCAAATTCAGTCCACTTTTAGGGTTAGGGTTAGGGTTAGGGAATCATGGGAACTGTATTTTATTGTGGCACTAGAGCTCTCTGACAGAGAAGGCTCAATGTCTCAGAAAAAAAACAATTCCCATGATTCCCTAACTCTAACCCTAACCCTAAAAGTGGACTGAATTTGCACTATTTCTGACAGTCTGCAACCCCCCACAGTTTCTCATTTAGGTGCTTTTAGTTGATATGTTATCTTTTTATTTAAAAGTGTAGACCAGTGGTACTCAAATATTTTACCCTTGGAACCCTCCCCCCCCTTTA